CAGTGATACAAGTTCAAACTTGGAAAAGGCTCAGAAACCCATTTCCATACAAACAGGAAGGACTCAAAATAATCACTGGAGTTAATTTGACGGCAGAGTCGAGCTATCAGATGGTGCCTGCCACATCAGCTGGTGTCACAACTCCCTCTATTTTCTGGCCCTTTCTACTCTTCATCACACGCCCATTACTTCCAGTACTACTAGCACAATGATAAATAAAATATCGTACTACTGCCACTACTAAGCACCTTTCCCTCATGCCAAAGAAACTTCTTACCCCTACCCACCCACCAAACCAAAAAGCTTTCAATACAAGGCTGTCGAGTGAACATGATTACAAAAGTCATCACCATCATCTACAATCATATTTTCACCTGTTCATGTGGTGTACACCTGTGGGTTGTTGGCAATACACTTGACTGCAGTGTGGGAGATTCCAGGTTCACAACGAGCCCTGTCATCTTTGTTCTCTTAAGCAAATACGCCATGCAATCCCAAAACCTGTGTGAACGCTATTGCCTCTTATAATATTATCTCGTTTACAAATCTTTTACCTTTTTAAGTGAGCAAAATACTAATGCAAAGCCCAAGAACATATATACAACAGTCAGAACAGCAATATATATATAAAATAATAATTCAAAGATCTTGAAAAGTGTACCAATGCGCTTTTTTACTGCGACCTAATGTGCAAGCAGTAGACCACCCCACCACAGGTAAGAAATGAGAAATTTTGAGGGCTATTGAACACTGAATTTTCGCAGCTGAACAGTATAAAGTTATTTAGCAGTGTTCAATAGCCTTCAAACTCACTTCTGCCTGTGGGTTACGGTGGTCTAGTAGAAAAAGACTGTAAAACAAAACCAGTGCTATTCAGGTTGGATCAAGACTTTTTTCAGTATTTTTTAAAATCCTTTTCAGGTTGGCATTATTTTATGCATTTTGAAAGAAAAACCATAAAAAGATCTAAAGATACCACACACTATTAAGTAAACAGCACATAAAGGGCACTTATTAAAAAAAAAAAATTATCCTATATACTACTAACAATACCGCAGGTGTATATTTAAAGACATGATTAAAAAACTACTGCTTCAGGGACAACAGCTTCCCAGTCCAACCAGTAGAGTACAAATTTTGATACTGCTCAAATGGCATATACAGCATGTTGGTATTTTTTATTCAGTTCTCTTTAGTCAGCAAAACTAACACCTCAACAGCTGAGTGAGATGCAGGATTCATTTTCTGGATGCAAATACTGATTTTTACAGGGCTTTTTAAAAGGGGATCTAAGAGTTGGCATTTATTTACTGAGTACTCAAAAATGAGCATTTGAATATTCTAGTGGGAAACACAAACCAGTTTCCATCATAATAATTAGACCCACTTACTATAAATGAAATGACACCCTCCTCATGCACAAAAGTTGGTCAGGTTTTCCATTTCTGCTCGCGTATTTCAGCCCTCACCCACTCCCTAGCATGGATGTTTCACTGATGGCTGAGGGTAACACTTCAAAAATGAACTAGCTAAACAAACTTCCCAGCAGCACTTGACAGAGCTACACCTATTCTTCCCCATTTCCAAAGCAGTACAGAATTAATTACCAGTTCTATGGATCTATTGTAAGTATAATAGACTAAAGAGCTATCACAGACACATTTATTGTAAAAGCACAATCCCAAGAGTGTCTAGTAGAGGGCCAAAACGATTAACACAAATGCTTTGTCAGATCAAAGATAAAACCTGCACCGCCCAATTGAGGAATGAATTAGAACAGTGGGTTATCTTTCAAATTAACCAGGGCAGTTAGTGAGGAAAATTTCATGAAAGTGTAATTCTTAGCCTTTGTGAATCCACACAGCAGGCATTCTGCCAGCTGACAAGATGATGAAATTTTCATGCTTAAAAAAGCCCTCTTCATTTCCCAATTTAGATTAGCTAGCGTTTCTCTCTCTTTTCATCTATTTGCTCTTCTGAAGAATTAAAAAAAACAAAAAAAGCACACAACAGGATCAATCTCTCATAGAGTAATGCGTTTCTGAAAAGAAATAAAATCTTTGCATGCTATTTTTTTAGATATTATTTACAGTTAACAGCAAGATTATCAAAATTGGTATCGTTAATATCATTAAGAAATCCATAAATACTGGAGATATGTTTTGGAAGGCAGATATAAAACATTTCCGTGTTTAATGGCAAAAAATGATTGCGGAAACAGAAAATTTTATATAAAGGTGAGTAATTTACAAAAATAATGGGATTGTAGGAGGCTTATAAAATTCTGTTTACGCACTTACATTTGCATCTTTTCAAAGGAAAGAAGTATATCACTATTGTGTTTATTTATTTATCACTTTCCTGTGCCAAAAAGGGCCAGTAGATTTTTCCACTTTTAGATTTTATGGCACTCCCCGCTCCCCCTAGATTTAGACAGCTACATATAAAAGCATTTCAACAGACTAAAAGAAACAACATGCAATGATCCTAAACACTTAAAAAAAATCCAATTCAAAGCTTACTGAAAAAACAAAGCTTTTTCATTTCAGTGAGCTGCGGCTCAGGCCGAAAGGCTCTTCATAGGGCTGTCTTCATAAAAGGTAGCTCACTATTTTAAAGGTTAAAAAAATAACTTTGCATTGTATGTTTTTGTATTATGTGCCACTTGACCAACACGCAAACAGCAGCAATATCGAGAACAAACAAAAAACCTACCCAAGTGACAAAGTTAGACAATGTATCTGTCTATTTTAAATTGCTCTATCTGTGCCTTTCAAATGCAACCACTACAATAGAAGACTGTTCAATGAGTGTCTCAAAGTTTCACCAAATGTTTTGTTCAGACAGTTCTTTGCCATACCACTTCTGGGTGTGTCTTTATAGCTTATAGGATTATATATATTAGCACAAACACCCATTTGATTAATTTCACCTCCAGCTGTTATACAGTCACTACAAGCACTTGATGAAAGGAATAAACTAAAACTCACAGCATCTGCTTTTCTAAGAGCTAACAGGACAAAAAGTTTACTTGCCCAACTCTGTGGAAAGCTCCTTTTTGAAGTTAAAATAATTGTGCAATTTGGAAATTACTTTTTATAATTAAATAATCTTACATTTCCAGAGTCTGAATATATTCTGCAGTCAAAAAGTGATTAAAACTTTATTATTGTAGCTAACTAGGTTAAAAGTAAATTCTCAGTACTAAAAATAGAACAGAGTTTATAAAGATTTTACTTAAAAGGACAAATAAATTCCTTTTGAAGGACACTTCATTATCCTATATACCATGTAATAAGATACTTAACAGATTTTAATACAATGTAAGCAAATGGAAATGTTCAACATTCAAACATTTCAGAGTTTGGTTCACAGCTTACTGTTAAAAAAACCTCAACCAAACAAAAAAACCCTCCAAAACAAAAAACCAGAGTTTTTTTAAACACTTTTTGTTCTTATCAGTAATAAGATTTTTTTCCTGCCCTTAAATATATCTTCCTTTATTCATCAAGTTTATTATCGCACATCTTACGCACATGTTTTCTAGCACTTCATATGCCAGAAATTACTTTGCAGATAGTAGTGTATTATCATTATGTATACATCTAAGATCTAAAACAGTTAATAAGAAACAACTTTTATACCACAGCAGTCTGTGTAAACATATTACTTTGACATACTATTTAATAACACATTGTATAATATAATAGAAAATAATATGTATATTAGTATCAGTTGAATGATAACTTTGCAGTCAGTTGGACTTCGCAATAAAGTAACATGAGCTCTTGCATTTTGGCAGCTTCGCCTGTCCAAGTCATCTACCTTTAACTTCAACAGCACAGAACACTCTATCCTACCTTGCGAAATACTGTCTGAATTTAAATACTCTAAGAAAGTTTTGAGCTCCTTTTGATGCAAGAACCTTCAAAAGAAGTATTCATACATTCGGAAATTATCATTTTCAGAAAAGAGCTTAGAAAACACTTACCTGCAATTGCAATAAGAACTAATACAGAACCCAAAATGCACACTTAGTATTCAAGCATAATGATAATTCTTAGCATTGTAGCTGCTGTCTGCAAAAGTATTTTGTAATCCTTAAGTAAATGCACCACAAATTAGTAAGTCATTCATTTACAGGCCACGTTTTCAAAAACCATTTACATTTGAGTACATCAAAGGTTATAAGCACCCAAAGGTTATGAATGCCAATTCACAAAATATGATGCTTCCAGCACACTGGAGATGCAAAACATATCAATATAATTTAAGAATCATGGCGCCTTTTTTTTTTCCTAAACAGTCTCCATTTTGGACAGAAGATAGGAATTTCAAATATTGCACATTTTTTCCCCACAATGCCATACAAAGCCAACTACTACCATTGGCATTATTGACTTCTTGCACAGCCTCCCAAAATAGAGAATTTTATCAAATTAATCCACTACCCATCTTTCTACTCTTTTTTTTTTTACCCCTCCCAATCATTATGAAGAAAGATTCATAGTATTTCCCTTCCTGCTGTCCTTGGAAGAATTTTTACAGAGCTACATTCAGTTTCCTTTTCACAATGTAACACTATACACATCAATTTGGACTGGAGAAAGAGAATCAGATTTCAATTATATGAGAAACTGATATCTGCATTTTTGATAGGAGTCATAGATTTTCTCAAAAGCATTAAGATAATCAGCTCTTTGCACTTTTCCATCTAAAATCTAGAAAACAGAGAGCTACATCATCTGTAACAACACTGACACACAGTTACAAAAATTTAAATACATTTAACTATCTTGACTTGACACTGACCTGAGAAAACAAACATTCTAAATTAATATTTTACAATTACTAATTGATTGTTTCATTTTCATAAAGTTGGGGTTTGACATTGCATGCCTTGGACTATACCAAAAAAAAGAGGTAACATGAAGTCACTAAAAACTCAGCACCAGTGATAAAACCAACTTCATGTGACAGGATGTTTTCTGACTACTTACATTATAGTATTTTCTGAGGTAGCGTCTAATATCCAACAGTATTTTGTTGCTCATTTGAACCACATAGTTGAGAGGAGGCTCTTCACATTCAGTCTTACTGCACCTTTGCAAGCTGGGTTCAATAAATCGCCCCTGAAAACCGAAGTGTAAAAACAGATGATGGTAGCAGAAACTATCACGGGAGTTTAGACATAAATTATATAAAATTATATTCAGTAAAAAAATTAACCTATGGACAAATCATGTTCCTTCATCTGCCCTCAAACCACACAGGTTTGTTGTTTTATCAGAAACACCAAAAGTCTGTCCAAGCCCACTGATCAACATTGAAATCAACCTTATAGATGCCAATTAGGAAATTGCCAACAGGGTTGTAGAGATAAACCTTGCTGAATAAGAATGACATGATAATCCGTTATTTTCTCCAAGTGCAAAGAGTAGCTCTCTTACAGTTCTACACCATCTCATACCCCTCACTTTCAAAACTTTCTGAATGCCTGACATTAAAATTTCAGAACCAGGAAGTGATACATGAATAGCTGAAATTGGGAGAATTCTCTTTAAAATAAGAACAACCTGGTAGGTTGGACAGCTATAAAACTCCTAGAAAATCTTCTTTCCAGGTAAGACTTTGCTTTTGTGAGCCTTCTTGACTAAACTCCCACTCACAACACTAAATAATTCCAATAATTCCAGGTGAAAGGGAGGGGGGGTGTTTTGGTTTGGTTTCTTTTGTTGTTGGGGTGGGTTTTTTTGTTTGTGGGTTGACTGGGTTTGGTTGTGGGCTTTCTTGGAGGGGTGTGTGATCTTGTTGGGGATTTTTTTGTTGTTGTGAGGGGTTTTTTAGAGTTTAATATCCACCCATCTGCAAGTTGTCAAGCCTACATGCAATTAACTATCTTATTTACAACTGTAATGAACAAAAGTCAAGGATTCACAAAAGCATCACTCGATTTGTGTGTCTTTTACTTGCTTCCAAAGACTGCTCTATTTTGATTAAAAAAATGCAAAACATCTGCTGTTTGTCCAAATTAACTTAAAATAATTACTTTTAATTTAGATAAAAGATTTATTTGCTTTCAGTTTCAAGGTTTTCACTACTCTGAAGCTCACTAATTTGCCAGTGACTAATACATAACATTGCTGGAGAGTTAAACACTTGGCCCTCTTTCAAGTTGTGATCCAAGGTCTGAGATACATTTTTTGGCAGAACTTCTCAACAAGAATGTACCCCTAAGACTTTTCATGTTGAATACACAAAGACAGAAGGAAAGATAACACAGAAAAACCTTACTGTCAAGAGGGGAGGTGGGATGTAGCAAGATAAACCCAAGTTTCAAAAACACTTTGTTCCAATTAATGTGATTTAGGATAAGAAATTGCCATTGCTATACGAACGTTTCATTAAATAGAGAACTGGAAGTTTCTAAGGTGTTAAGATAAGGATTCCTTAAAAAGTTACAGCAACAATCAGTCATGACTGTGGGCAAACAGATTAATGAAGCCAGATAATCACATGTGTTCTGCTAGACAACACAGCTGAAATGCAAAAATGGGAAAAATATTTCAGCGCTATCCTATCAGTAAATTTCTTTTCCAAAGCTATAAATAGCAGGACTCAAACAAAATGGTATTTTCTCCTACATTGTATGAATCCTATCCCAAAAGCCATTCTCTCTGCAAGCATTTTTCTCTCTCACCGATGAAGAGAAATGAAATAGAAAAAAACTAACCGAACCATCAAAGACATTGTCATAAATATTTTCTGTTCCGCATTTGAGGCAGCAAAACTTGAATCTTTCACAATCCCTATATTTCTCCTCATCAGTGAGCTGAGCTGGGCCACCAACCAAGGCATCATTCTCCTCATCTTTATGGTAATGGTGATGGACTCTGAATTGGGAAGGATCCAGTCCTATTAATAAAGAAACAAAAATTTCAAAAGACTAAGAGGTCAACCATGCAAGTGGGCTCATTTTTCATATGCTTGGTGAAGCAGATTCAAAAGAAAGTTACAAAATGTAAATTTGGAAGCCGAAAATCTCTCCTTAGAAAAACCTCAGCTATAAAGCATAAACACATTTTACAATTTTTAACCACGAATAAAGGTTCACAAAACATGAAGAAATCTTCTTACTTATCTTCTTACGCAAGATTGCTTTATAAATAAAACAAGCGCACTGCATTATCATGGGAGTATGCCACAGAACATTTTGTTTCTGAGGAAACCACTCCTAACGGATGGCTTTATTGTTATTTTCTTCTTAAGTTACATTGAAAATACTTCAATAAAAATGTGCATCGGTATTAAGAAACAGTCTTTAAATCAAAATGGCACCATTAAAACTGAAAACAGAGAATAAAAACCCCATTAAAGAAACACGGGTGCACTGCTATTACCAACTCCTTCAAGTCCGTATACAACTGCCAACTCTGATTTCAATGCAGTGGTCGATTTCATTTTGGCTCAGTGGTTAACAGCATGTAGGTTTCAATCTAATGCAGTGGTTAAAATTCAGCAGCAGCATTTAAAACGGCAGCACCGGAGATGAAATGCTTTATTTTTGATTGCCAGAACTCAAGATTTTAAACAAATAAACATACAAAAGAGATCCTAAAAATACTGATTCAACCACAAATAAGTAAATAAGCAAGCAAGCACGAAGTTCACTGCTCTAAGAACAAGACTGCCAAAGTAAACTTAATAAAAATCCACGAGTTTTGTCATCCTTTGTCATGTGCAACCTTTTAAAAGTCCGTGTATCTCATTTACAGGGGTTTTTTTTGGTTAACTCTAGCAAATGGCACATGCTAGGAAAAAAAATTATTGAATGAGCATGCAGCAGAAAATGTTGGGAAAACTATGGCTTACTTTATTACTATGAACAGATCAAAGAGAAGCACTTTAAAAAATATTTTAACAGAGGCTAATTAAGCCAAATAACAGATTACCACGTATTCACCCACACCTTGTTTAAATTTCAGCAACAAATGTCATAACTACTACAGAAAGCGCAAGAAAGATTACAAACAGAAAATTAAGCTAGATTTTAGTTCATCTTAACCTTACTATACAGTACCAGGAGACTTAAAGACAATGTTTGGGAACAATATTCAGTTAAACTAGACAAATATTATTGCACATATAAAACAGCTGTGTTATACAGGCAGATATAGATTGTTCTTACATAAAAGATTTTATATGTGTGACTCTACTATCACTATTCTGAATTTCTATTTTGCAATCATAAAACAAATTCAAGGACAAGGAAAAATTCCACTGCCAAATAAGTTCATTTGCTTTGTGACAGAACAGTGATTTCACTAAAATGTAATCAGCCTTCCTAATTTTATTTTTATCAAAAGAAACACATGTCAATGCATAAGGGTAACAATCCACCTTCGAAAGGTTCTTAAACTTTTAATACAGCTCAATACTACTCATTAAAAGGAAGGGCAAACAAAGTAAAAACCATTGCTAATAGCTTATTTTACACTATAATACATATAGTAGCCACCCCCCCACCCCCCCCCCCCCCAAAAACCATGGGGTATTTTTCGCCGAAAATACTGTGGGGTTTTGTTTGGGAGGGGGGTGGGGTGGGGGGGGTGTTATGATTTTTTTCTTTTCTTTTTAAAGGGTTGATATTATAATCAAAATTTTAAAATTCATTTTAAAATGAATTAAAATTTTGCAAAAAATAACTAACTATGCAGTAGATTGGATCTAGGATAGTAACCATGAATACAAACAAAAATTCTCAAGTTTACTCTAAGATCAAAAGCATTATTGCAACTTTCTGATACAGATGCCATTAAAGTTCAGCTAGAAATCTGTTTTTTGTTGTTTCCCAAAAGGCAAATATAGAGCAAAATAGTTCACTAAATAAAGGATAAAAGGAGATAAATTCTGGTCTTCAGACAACTGCAGTTTTCCAATATTCAGTCAAAAATGATGAAAGCAAATAAGTATCCAGACATTTGGTAATAATTTAACGAGGAAAAAAAAAGTTATTAATTGGAAGAATTTAAATCACACCTATCTGAACTTTCTTAGCTGTTTTGGCTGGCGGAAAACAGGAAAAATATTGTGATGATTCAAGTGCACATCTAACTTTTGGTGTGCAGTCTCAGTGAAATCAAAGGGACTGCAAATCAGGCTTTTAAAGAACATGCCTATCATAGCTATCTTGTGGAATTAGGATCTATTTTAACTGTTATCTCCTTCTAAGAAGAGTCAGTTAGTTAGTTAGTTCAATTAATCAGTCTCAGCACACTAACTGGTCCAGGTCACACCGGTCATATTACTCTACTTAGGAAACAAAACAGGGACTACCTGATGGGTGGCAGAAAAAAAAATATCTGGTTTTGGTAATTTTTAAATTAATAGGATGAGAATAGTCAGGTAACTTATTTGAACTTTTATTTTTTCTATGACAGCAAGGAAAAAAAAGCAAAAGGACTTTGACTTAGTCAAACATAAAAATCTTCAGGGCTATCATTAAATTACATGCACCACAGGTAAGCTTTCCAACCTCACCAAAACTGCAAGGTTGCACACATGAGGAAGGAATGTAATATTAAAAATACAGTGATGAACCTAGCGTGACAAAAATAAATAATAAAAGTTAGTTCCAGGACTTTTTCCTGAATTATGTAGTAGAATTATTAAAACAGTTACTAACTAGCAAGCAAAACAGGCCACTCAAGAAGCTGAAAAAAGGTCAAATAAACTTTACTAGTCACAGTATTTTAAAAAATAACACTTCTGCAGATCCTTTTCACAGGGTTTCCCACACACCCTGCCCAAGGAGCCGAAACACGGCACGGTTCAAGGCAGGAGCGTCCTGGAGCCTCAGCCGCCTCAGGGCAGGCGCTTGGCAGGGCGCTGCTCGCTGAACCGGAGCCGAGCGAGGGTTTTCCCATGGATTTCGCATTTCAGCCGCAGGTCCGCGGGGAAGCACGGAAAGTTTCCCCGCCGACACCTCCGCCCGTGAGACATTTTGTGAGAGGCAGGGAAACGGCAGCCGGTGCTGCCACCTGGAGGCTACGCCCGCGCATTTCACTCAGGGCGACGCGGCGGGGCCGGGGCCGGGCCGGGCCCGCCCGCCGCGAGTGTAACCCTGGGCGGTCAAGGCCTCTGCTCTGCCTCTTGCCTTCGGAAACTCAAGTTTTTTAAATTATTATTATTTTTCTCAAACAGAGAGAGCTGCAAAGCTAGTGTGCTTTCTGCGCAGGGTCCTCTGGAGTCCTTCTCGTGTAGTCGGAACAGGGCCCAGCAAAGTGCGTGCACACAGGTCTAGAGCACCTCAAAAAAACCCAGTTAGACCACAAACAGCAAACTTCATACACTTTGGGGTTTATTACTGTATTGGCATTACTTTAACTTTCATTTTCATCATTCTCTCGGTTCACTGCTTAATGTGAGAAAACCATTGAAAAAGAACCTAACCTAATTCCTGCATGCCACAAGAAAAGCACAACTGTCCTGGTTTCTGTCAGGAGAGTCAGGCTGGGTAGCTGCTAAATACTACATTAAAGGCACCTATTAAATTACTCTCTAGGAAGAAGAAGAAGAAGAAAAAAAAGACTTGGTATCTTTAAGGTGGTGGTGGGTTTCCTTACAAGGAGCAGCTAACACGCAGACACTCTGTGGAAGGAGGAACCAGTACTGGGAAGTACTCTTAAAGACAAGCCTCATCAGGACCCAGGAATGACTTAATTTTAGATAGCCTTCCTAAGAAATGCCCAAATGCCAAGCAATCTGCAGAGCACCAATGTGTACATCCACCTGTAAGGCAGCAGCACACATCTCTTTCAGAAGACCATGACACACTCTAGGTCAGCAACTTCCCTCATTTAGAGAAAATTATGTTATGCAGTAACAGCTACAAAAATCCCAAGGTTAAATGACTTCCATAATGTTTAAATACTTTTGACAGCACAGAAATAAGATGCAAATTTTCTCTGAGACAATGAGTAGTACTGATGTATCAACAAAAAACCCCCTTACTTTAAGTATGTTAAAAGAATTGTTCTGCCAATACAGTTCTTTTCATTTAAAAGCTACAGGTAACTTCAGGGAGAAGTAAGTAAGGTCTCCAAGCATTTAAGAAGATCAGATTTATTTAATGATATTACTGATGAGGTTGCAGAGTTTACTTCAGTTTCAGAAACCCTATTGTCACTGGTTTTTCCTCAAGAATTTCAAGAAAAAGAGAGTGAATGCAGAAGTATGGCCATGAGGTTCTAATTTTTAGGAACAATGAATTTCCATCTCTCAAAGGCTAGGCAGACCTCCTACGACATCCGAAAACAAAAGGCAATTTTCAGCTTGATTCTATAGTGAATAAATGTGATATTTAAGGAGTTCTCGGCAATTTTTAGGTGTGGTTATTTGTTTTTGTTCTTCAGCATCTAAAATAGCTTTAAATAACTTGCTTTGAGCACAGATAGAACAAAGAACTTTTCATCATTCTGATATAAGCCAAGCTTCCCTAAGCAGAACTCAGTTTATCTACTCGGACCAATGCACTGACGTGTCAATGAAACATACACCTTACAAAGAGATTCTCTTAAACATGAGGCAGGGATCTTTTTTCTACAACCATTCTCCCTATACAGACACATACCCTATTGAACACAGTAAATCACATCAGGCAGAGGAAGACATGCACAATGAGAATGCAACCAAGTTTTGGTTCACAGATACGACACTTAGATATCCTCCAAAACATCAGTCGCCTTCAGTAGAGAAAAACATGCTCTTTTGCAACAAGACAGGAAAAACAATAGGAATTTGGATTGTAACATGATAAAAATACTAAGCAAAAATGCCCAACTATAAAGCATTTTCATGTTTCTTGTTTTAGCAAGCTGTGCTCAAGTATCTTGTATACTTAAAACTATTTTCAGTGTCTTCGAAACAAAACCACTTGACTGTTCC